CGATGTGGCGGCGAAATAAACGAATACTCTGGTTTCATAGAAAGTCCCAATTATCCTGGCGATTACCCAACTAACGTGGAGTGTACGTGGAATATTTCTCCCCCCAAGGGAAGAAGGATTCTTGTTGTCATACCCGAGATCTTTCTGGCCAACGACGCCACGGACATGTGTGGAGACCAGCTTGTTATGAGAAAATCTTGTAAGTGTGAAACGGTGTATATTTTTTTGAGAAAAAAAAAACGGCACTGAAAATATATTACAAGCATGGTCTAATTTGAAGTCCACAATGAAACACGTAAAGCTCATTTTGTAATTCAGACTACGCGTATATTACACTTTCACAATTGCCCTTATTGTAAATAGCCACCGAAATTTCGTGGGGAACGATAGAGCGACGTTTTTACTCCTCAAATAGTTTTCATTCTCTCCATTCACCGTTGTTCCCTGATCTATGCTTATTTAAGGGGAAACAAATAGGTGTCTTGGTTATCCCGTGCGGTCTTTGTTGTCAATGGCCTGCAAATTCAGGACACACCAGGACTGCACTTATTTAATAAAAAACGGGCGTACGTGGTACTCACATCTAATAGAAAACGTTTAAAGCTGATAATTTTTTTGTTTTTCCACAGCTAGTCCATATTCCATGATAACGTACGAGTCCTGTGTAACACATACCTCGCCAATTGCCTTCACTACCAGATCTAGGAAGTTATGGGTGCGATTCAAATCCAATGCTAATATCAGTGCGAAAGGATTCCAGATCCCGTATGTTACGTACGATGGTAAGAACTGACGCTTCATTTTAAGAATGCAAGTTAAGATATGAATAGCAATACGACGCCTTTGTACACTAAGTGCATTTTTGAATATTTTTTTTTTTTTGAATAGAAAACTACCAAGATTTAATATATAATATTGTACGAGACGGTCGACTTTATGAATCGGATCATCACCTAGAAATTTTGAAGGTAATGAATATTACAATTGCCCTTATCTATATTAAACATTAATATGATATTTAGGTATAATACATGCATACAAGTGTGTTGAGTAGCTCAATGACAGTGCGATACGCCCTCATCGGCAGATGTTACAAAACCAAATTCTTGAATATTCGTTTGTCAATTCAATAATTTTATATACTTTTTTGGGTTACAGGACAAGAAGCTAGTCGCTGCTCTGTTTGACGTCATCGCGTTCCCTCAACACTATTTTAGCTATACCCAAGAGGAATCGAGGTCGATGTTTCCCAAGTCATTCTTACGATTACTACGTTCGAAAGTTTCCCGGTTCTTCAGGCTATGATCTACTTGATCTTCGCATTAGTGGATGCGGTAATGCAACGTGATTTTAGTACGTTGCTGTAAACTGACGATCTGTGTGATACAATTAAGCGTATATGTGGATTTTTATGTTCGAGCGACCGAATTACCTGTTCCGACGCATTTAGTGAAAACAATATTTTCCCCTTATAGTCTTACTGGATAATAAATAAACACACTCTTCGAACATATCATAATCAGTTACGATTAGCTATGTACAGCGTTTATTTGGTGATGTAACAGTTCCTGGTCATTTTGGTGTAATGTACTGCTGATTTGCTGATCGTATTTTATCACACAGTTCCTAACCAATTGTAAAAGTATGGACACTCCACTGTAGTTAAGTCATTGTTGCAGTAATGTTAAACTGTCATTGCGTTAGTCTATTTTGTATATTTGGAGATCCTGTAACGTATTTTAGGCAGAGGTGCAAATTAGCGTATGTGAATCGCCACCGCGAGACTGAAACAAAGACCGGAATTGGCTTTGTTTCTAGAAATGTACATACGACACCGGGTATAAACCTTTCTATTGTTTACTGTATTGTATTATAATTACAATGGCTCAAAATACAATATGTAAGTTTTAGCGTAGCTGAATAAAAAAATATACAAAATAATTTATATATAGATTTATGAGACGACAAAAAGCGAGCGGGTCGACCACATTTATGTGTTTTGCTAATAAGCCAGTTTGCATATTAGAACCATTGATTCCATGTCGCTGCCGGATGTTGACTTTTTCATAGGACCAAATAAAGTGATCGGACCAATCAATTTGCTCGGCACAATAGGTGTTTCAAACGAATCAGCCACCCAAGCAAACGAAAAAACCCGAGTCCAATCGAAAGCCCTGACTTCGGTTATCATTATTTTATACTGCTGATTTTGCAAATGTCGGCACACCAACTATATACATCACATGTAAACAAATCATTCTACTTGTTTAGTTGACGTCACTTCCGTCTAGATGACCAATCAAACTTCCAATTGCTTGCGACATTTCTGTTATATTGTTTCTTTATATATTGATGCTGGGAGTGCTCATTTTTTGCAGGTGTTTTTTAAAAGTTACTTAATGAATCATTTATTGAAATCGATCAGAACCACGCTTAAACTATTAAATTATTTGAATATGTACATCGTATTCAGTCAATATTAAAGTAAACTACATGTAGCTATGCAGTGTTTCATCATCAGATATGTATTCGGACAAGTTTTTCATAAATACTGTAGAATTTGTAATAAATAGATGCTGCTGCAAGCTACAATTCGACGCTGCAGTGCGTTCCCGATATATTGTAGGGGACATTGTGCTAGTGAGAACTGAAGACGATGTTAATTTCCCTCGGGGTGTATCTGATCGGCTGCGTCGAAATGCTTCTAAATTCGAAATAGTTTCTATAATAGTTAATCACGGAGATTTCCGGTGATGGGGGAGTTGTATGTCACACACATCTTAATTGCATTCGTTCGCAAGTAGAATAGTACATAATGTAGTTTTAATTTTGCTCACAGGAGCTACGTCACTTGGCCCGTGTTGTAATTTAAAAAAAAATTATGTATCCATATTTTGATATTAAAATGCAATGTATTTCTGGTTAAGTTAAATGTTTGTCATTTTCATATTACTGGATAAGTGAAACATCAACCTTTTTCTCTTGGTTATTGATATGATGGTTTGCATAACCATAGACCCTCTGACATGTGTTGCAAGACATATTTGCTAATACATCTAAGAGCGCCATCAACGATGAAAATTACCAGAGCTTAGTATAATAAACAATCACAATTTATGTGAAAATTTACCTCACCCAGTCGTGTCCCATAGCTGTTTTATTTGAATATTTTAAAACGGACCAACTCTTGCAGATACATAAATACAGGAAAAAAATAACGTTTTAAATTACGACAGACAAATTGTCTAACATTTCCGTTTGAATGTATAGCTCCCTGATGATTTTTTAGTCCCCATTCGGACGCAGTCCGAAAACTGGGACTTATGTTTTTGACTTCCGTGCGTCCGTGCTTCCGTGCGTCCGTGTGTGTGTGTGCGTGCGTCCGTGCGTGCGCCCGGACCTGTATCTTAGAAATGCCTGGACCAATCACAATCAAACTTCACACATACATCATACATGATATTAGAAATATACACGTCAATTTGTTTCACGATCTGATTCAAGATGGCCGAATGGTGGCCATTTTTGTACTAAAAATCATCAAAGTCAAGCATTTTTCGGCTGTTTACAGATGGATTTTGTTCAAAATTGGTATATACGTTAGACATTATAGGAACTTGAGCACGTCATTTTGTTTTTTCAGATAAGATTAAAAATGGCTGACTGGCGGCCATTTTGTCTTAATAAATGTGGTTCTAGTGCCATATCTCTGACTTGCTTGGACTTATTATTTCAAATTTCAAATA